CACAAGGTGATGCTGAAGCCCACCCAGGCTCAGAGCTTCCCACCCGCCTCCGACATCCAGGATCATCAGGAAGCTCTGTGGACAACACGGATCAAAAACCTGTGAATTCTTCATGTGACATCTGTGCTAAGAGCCACTCACAATGACCACTTCCTCCTGATGTGCATGGCCAACCTGAGCAGCATCAGCATCATGGTGGTGGCGAGGATAGCAGTCCCGAGGCAGAGGTGATGATGACAATTCTTTGTGGGAAGTGTGCAGGCTGTCCACTGGGCATATTCCAGTAGCAAACATCTAAATGGAAAGACAAGGCAGAGTGAAAAGAGACGTCACTGCTGAGCTGCCCTCAACCAAGGCCAATCTGCAAAGACAACCCGCTTACTCTCTCATTGCAGAATTGAAAACCTTGGTTATTTGTGCACAAATTGCTCAACTCCTATGCCTGTAGTCTGTCAGAAAACCATGTAAAAATGAACATAATCACTGGTGTCAAGACAATCTAGGGAGCAAACTAGAACCATGGAGAAGCGTCCCAGGGAAGTCTGTCTGTACTGTTTAGCATTTAGAAAGTAGTGCTATCAAAAGGGAAATAGGAACCTGGGCTGCATAGTGAGACCTCATCTTTACACACACACACACACACACACACACACACACACAATTAGCTGGGCATGGAACGTGGGTGTATGCCTGTAGTGGAGGCTGAGGGACACAGCTTTGAGTGAGCTTGGCCTAAAAAAGGGACAGAGAATTATCACAATGTGATTAAGACCATCATGTGAATGTGTGATAACAGCCTCAGAAAATTCTGACTATTTCTCAAAAAGAGAGGAATCGCTTCCTTATTCAACCTAGCTTAGAAAAGAGAACTCCCAATTTAATATCAATCACAGTGACTTAACTTTTGAATTGCCAACTTGTCAAGAGATTAACCACCAGAGAGAAAACTCTGGATAACATGGAGTCATCATCTGTGAAGGGGTTGTACTTGCCTTGCTCCTTCACTGAGCTGTGAATAAGATAGACTTGACACTTGAACATGCACTGTGACTTTCCTTCTCTCTATACCAGAAGGAAAACGATGCCAGAAGCAAGAGCCACTATCTCTACTTATCATCAATATGCTTGGAAAGTTTTCATTCACATAAGATTCACTGAAGACTTTGAAGGATGCTTTTATCCTTATGTTTTATGACAAATATTGATCATTTGTCTGATTTTCTGTGAAGAAAACCACATGATCAAGTTTTGACCATCATGGTTCAATTCCAAACTTCTTTCCAACTTTAGAAAACCTTTAACTATGAGGGAAGCTGCAGCCTAT